GTAGCGATTCATGTGATTCAGTTGGAAGAACGTTCTCAGGAAGTATATTACACAAAAATGTAGCTCTTCAAATGGAAGAGTTCTTAAATAGTGGGGTTCGAGGTGTATTGAGTTCAACCTCAAAACGATGGACAGCCACAGTCCGTCGCGTATTTCTGATATGTGGTGGAATCAATGTGCCAAGTCACTTGAACACCTTCTGTCGAGGTATCTATGAAGTAGAGACAAATCTCCAACCTTTCTTCGATGTTCTAGACTATCAAGGTTGCAATTTATATTTGTGTCTCCAATCTGGATGGAATCCAGCAGCTTCAGGATATGCTTAGGGGCGGAGCTCCATACATGTGAACAATACACCAAAGAAGATTCGATTGGAGCACAGTGTGAAAATTATGAAAAAATTGGAAAAGAGATAACCTTCAAAATAAGCTCTTCGTACAAATACATAGAGGAAAAAAATCCTCGAAATAACTTCTTTCACAGGAACATTGATATTGAATTGAAACATATATCACTCATAGGGAACGCTACACAACGTAATATATAAAGTATATAACGTTTCACTTACATGAAAGCCTATCCTTTTTGCGCAGTTTCTGGTTGAGAACACTATGTTTAACTCTTAATCAGCACTCTTTTGAACTTTTGAGAACGAAAACAAGCATTTCTCGCATAAGATTACGACTGTTTGTAATCGAAAGTGGCAATTCTGCTCTTGTAAAGTTTCAATTTTTGTAAAAACATTCATACGGTTGATTACTTTATTGTTCGAAGATGAAAAAGTAGAAAGCCAAATGCTTTTTTGACAGAAACTATTCTCTCTTGAAAATATTTCCTTTCCAATTCAATTGAAATAACTATAGCTGGGATTTACAAAATTTTCTGATTTGGAAAAATCCAGAGTAACACTAACCAATGATCTTTGTCTCAAAGATTATGAGGAAAGGAAAATTTTGGATTTCAGGATCTGAAATCAGTTATTGTGGACCATAGTACCGGGTTTGATGAATTTACTTGTTAATACCATATAAAACCTCCAACTTAAAAAGGAAATATCGATAAAAAATTATGCCACTCCACCCTCGCCATACAAAGATACTGCCAATGTTCGGTAACTATGCCATTCGAAATAACTTCGTACACACTACATGTATCGATGAAAATTAATTAAAGGTGGTATTTTCCTAATACAATTCTATTTAACATTAAATCCATAACTATTCATGAGATTTTATATTTGCAATTAAACTAAATGTAAGTACTACTGTGACTACGGCGCCGAGACTCCTCACCGCACGCACTCCAGGCTTCACTTGCAGGCGCCTATTGTTTCACTTAAGCACATTCCATTGATTTCTACTTTAATGTCTCTTTCTTACTTTGGAAGATTGATACATTTGTATGAAGATGGAAGAGTAAAAATACAAAACATTTCATTGCCAAAAAAGATTTTTCAAAAAATATACTTTTCTTAATATAAACATATATTCTTCACTTTTGAATATTTTTAAGAAAACATTAAATGTCATTCTGATGTCCGTTAGTATGTTCCATTGTCTTCAATTTCTCATTTTCCTTCTCATGTATTCAATATCTGTGAAATTCCCACATAAAATCGTCCCATTAAAAATGCTTCCTCTGTTACCCTTCAAAATTGTTAGATACATCTAAGCAATAATTAATTTCTACGATAAAACACTCGTGAGTAAATGAAGAAGTAGACCTCGGTTTATAAATTTCGTTTACAATCGTCTTTACCGAGGTTTCCAAGACCTCCCAACTTCTGAATTAGGTGAAATATAAAATTCTCTTCGAAAAGTTGAAAAGTTTATTTTAATTAGTTGAACAAACACCATAACAAATTTAACAGCGCTCTCCGGTATTTCGCTCGTACCCCTTCTCATTTGATAGTACATAATTAATTAACATCCCAAGGAACAGGAATATACAGCGGTTTATATCAATTGAAATGTAGAATATTTGCAGTGAAATCGGAATGATATATATATTACAGTGTTGATGTGAATATTTTATATTATTTAAAAATAACAATACAGGGAGGATCCTGTCTATTATTCTATTGGTATACATTAGGTAAATGAAAAAAACCAAATATAATTGATCAATACTGAGATCATTCCTCACCAATATATTGTTTTGTAACTTCAAAGTCACAAAGGACAAAACACAAGCACGACAGGAAAATTCTGAAGGCGCTCTCAGAGCGATGCCTATGCGAAAGTAGCGATTTACATTGGATTTGAATCGCTGGAGATTAAATCCATTTAAAAAAACGTTCTGAGGAAGTTTATTCCACATAAATGCAGATGAAAGAGTTCTTAAACAGTGAAGTTTGACGTGTACTGAGTTGAACCTCAAAACGATGAGCAGTCACAGTCACTTCAACACCCCCCGTGAAAATATCTATAAAAGAGAGACAAATCTCCAACCTTTCTTCGATGTTCCAGGACATCAAGGATGCACGTGATATTCGCGTCTCCATCAGGCGGATGACTCTTTTCTGGATGGAATCCAGCAACTTCAGGGTATGATCGGGGGCAGAGCTCCATACATGAGAAAAATACTCCAAAGAAGGCCTGATCTGAGCTTTATAAAGCATCAAAAGTTGCTGAGGTGTGTACAGTTTTCTCGTTCAGAACAGTGTTCCAAGCTTCTGAGAAGTAGCCTTTGCAATTCCAGCGACATGATTGTGCCAAGACATATTGGTGTCCATTTTAATCCCCAACGAACTTATTGAAGAAGACAGCGGAATTGTCTGACATGACATTATTATATCCGGTTCGGAGACATTTATCTTCGCTGTCATTACTGTTTTGTTAGTGTTGAAAGCAGTGATCACAAGTATATCGTTATTTTAAATAACTGTAGGAATATTTTGTGAACAGAATAATAATGTTTCATACAGAATAATAACAAAAATCATTGGATAAATGTTTATAAGATGATTTTTACCTAATATTTCCAATTTTATCCATATTATAGCCCTTCATGGTAGTGTCTTCGAACACTGACTAATTTTATGAAAGGACCCCAACCTGGAGAGATGTGAATAGAAATTCAAAGAAATGTATAAGTGNTACCCTGATTGGTATACGCTAAAACTTTGGTAAAAAATTATGTATCGGAAATTTCAATCGATTCATCAATATTGGAATTTCGATTCGGAAAATTATTTCAACATTTTGAAATCATTTTACATCTATTATTGATTTCATTCAGTTGGCAGCAAATTGTTTCAGAACTGATCTTACAATAATAATTCAGTGACATCAATGGACCACCTCTAGACTAATTTTGAATTTTAGAATATCGATGATTTAGACACCCATTTCATGAAACATTCTGGATTGATTGCATTTTTTAAATACCCAAAACTATCTATCACATGAATGCGAAAATCGATTATAAAAAAATGACATTCTTGATTTCAACATTGTTGCTTTTCTAGCGGAAAATATTAAGATTATACAGAAACTGAGGTAAAGACCATTGATTAAATATGAAAAAAAAAAAACAAAATCACTTGCTCACTGAAAATACAACAAGTAATTCAATTTACCTCATCAGCAATCGTAAGAGAGAAGAAAGTATATTTGCAATTCAAAATTTGTGATTATAATACTGAAGAAAATAATATGTGAAAAAAGTTAATATTGAGAAAATAGCCAAAAAGACTAAGCCACATTATTAAAAATCGTGGATGAAATTACCAAATACCATGAATATAATTCTAATAATATGAGGCACTCTGTTGATACCTTACTAGAATTCTTAATCACTACATAGTAAGAAGTGTTGTCAATTCTTAATAAACTGAAAACGAAAGCTTATCGATAAGACAATTTGATTGTTTTCCGTTGTCCATATATCAAACCGCTACGACTCATATATTCAATGAGTGTTCAATACAAAGCTGGAAATAGGCTTTCGTCTTACAATGCCCGAAAACTTTCCACAAAACATCTCACAGAATTGTCACAGTTAAGAGCTGTAAGTATATTTTTTAACTGTTTTGTTCAAGGTATTGTATAAAATATTTCATGAGGGTTCATGAAGTAATAAACTATTACCACAAAATTAGTCTGTATTCAGATTTGGTAACAGCTGTTTCACATCTTCAACAATATGACAGATGATATTCAGCATAAATCATCGGATATTATTTGCAATTTCACATTTTATTACTTTGAGTACTTTTGCTTGTTTTTTCTTTATGTCATATTCATCAACGAATTTATTGTACGTGTTGAAATAGGAAATGAAATATCGAATAGCATTGTGATTCACAATAGGGTACCACAAGGTAGTTTTGAGCAGACTCAAATAGATGTTGAAATATTCGAATTGTTTGACGATAGTCACACATTCATTATGTAAACTACTATATTCAAGTCGACATTATTCGAAGATCAAAATAGTGCATTGTTTTCCTTAAACCAGTTTACACAAGTTGAACGGAAAAAAACATCGATTTTTACTATGAGCATGATAGTTCAATGGATTCCTAACGAGATACAGAAGTGCGTGAAAATTTCAAATCACTACATGAAATATTACAAGTTTTAAATATTATTTTTTGAAATTTACTAAAAATCATTACATACTGAAAATCACTACATAAAATATTACAAGTTTTGAATATTATTTTTTTAAATTTACTGAAAAATATAGACACTTGAAAGTTATTCTTAGAGAGACGGAAATTTTGAAAGTGGTCCAGTCTCAGAAATGTATGTCCATTTGATGTAGAAACTGGGTACACAATAAACGCTGTATTCTAATGCTGCCTCGTGATTCATTTTTTGATGAGAAAGAAGTATGAATCGAGATACCAACTGTACATGAAATATTAAATTATTTTTTCTATAGCAAGAAGAGTAATACCTTACTAAAAATCAACAAAAGTAAACAACGGAACATAAAAATGAATTTTTTTCTTACAGGACTCATGACAATGAAATATTCATCACATAACTTACAGTTCGATTAAGGTAGACAGGATTCCACTGACAGATTACAGATGCAGGAATCTGAAAAGGAAAAAACAATATTTATGTTTGGTGATAATCTCAAATCAGTATGCAGGATCGTGAAACTTTCTAAATCAATAACAAAGTTCCATTCACCTCGTTCACTCGGTAATGAAGACTCTTCAAATCTCAAACGTTTTCAATAAGGTATAGCATACAATTAGGTATTCAAGACCATATGAAAATGAATCACGTCTTGAATCTTCATGTATACATGTTATTAGAAAAAAATCCTAGGAAACCAGAAATTGGAATGAAGCGATCTAATTATAACAAAATTCAGGAACCGGAAGCGAAAAAGGTGAAATCAATTGGAGATAAACGTTTCCTTGCTCAACACTAACTAATACAACTTACTGATTTTCACTTTCAGGGTTCCACAAACAATTAATTTTCTCATGAGGGAGCTCTTGCATACCTCGATATGGATTTTTATTGGGTATCAATTAGTTCTATAATTAATTTCTTCTTCAACGTATAAATAATAACAATCAAGTACACTCTTTATGAAGAAAGGTCATTGGATCTCCATTACAGGTAAGCAAATTGAAAAACTTAATCTCGGTTCAGTGATACCGAATATTTATTTTCATTTTTATTTCAGTTCAAAATCCTTCGCATAGAGTAAAAAAATCATACGAAAAATATCCGATTTGAGAATAAAAAGCTCAATATTGTCACCAAGTCCAACAGTCGACAACATAAATAACAAATTCGGCCCGATTTCTACCACGAAATAATAAAACCCCCGTAGTCAACGCACTCAAAGGTCCAGAAGAGCATTATTCAGGATAACTGCCGTGTCGTCCACTCCAGTCTCTCCTGCACTAGAAAAGAAAAAATGTTGGAATCTATCGCGGCGGAACGCTTTCTCCAGTTTCTAGCCCACGATTGAATGCGATGTGAAAAGGTGTGTTAATGGCGCTAAAAAGGTTTTGTGTGTAATGGTTGCAGTTTCGAGAATTTTTCAGTCTGGTCTGCAAATCTTTTCTTTGGGTCGAATGAGATTCGGGATGAACGAAAATTACCCTCTACCCTTATAAGGCGGATCACGAGCCACCAGAGGTTTTTATATTATGGAAGCCGAGGAAGTTAGACCCTAAAAATTATTGTCAAATTTACATGAGCTTCTTGTGAAATTTATTTGATTTTGTCGTACGGTATTTTTTGTAGATAAATAAGTTACGCTTTTCACACTGGGACTCTCAGCGGACTAGTATATTCTCATTCAATAGGATAGATCCATGGTTGTTTTGGAAAAATCAAGTATATGAAAGGTCAGTACCATGTTTTGTTAACTATGATCCTTTGTAGCTACAAGAAATATTTCTAGAATGATTGATATTCATTATGGTGATACAAAAATATATTTTCGCAATTTTATTCATCTCAAAAAGTTCTATTCTCTTCAAATTATTGGTATTCAATTATATAGTTGAAAATTTTCCCTATGAAACTAATATAATAATTTAGATAATTTCGAGAGCTTCAATTGGAAACAATACTATACGGTCTAAGTACGTTTGAACTCTTCGAGTTCTTCAATTTTTACTTATTGATGTATCCAATTCCAGTGGGAGTTGTCAATTTTTGATTATTTTAAAAATAGTTACCTCTACAAACAAATTCATTGAAATTAATCTACAGATGACAATTTTCACACACCAAAACATTTTTGAAAGCCTCTTTAGTTTTATATTTTTAGTAGATTTTGACCAATTTGTTGGTGTATTTCAATTCATATGACAGAACTATGAATTTTAAGTTTTCGTACTCCTGAAAAGTCGAATATTTTTGACAATTCGACTTTTTAGAACGGGGAAGACACAAAAATTTAAAGCTTTTAGATATGAACCAGAACACATCAATAGGTTGGTGAGTATTTTCGAAAAATTGAATATGATAGATAAAGAAGTCTGTAATTTACGAGAATTCCGATAAAAAATATGTTAGTCGAACTAAGCGGACTATGAAAACTTGCTATACGGAACATATGTTTCACATATTCGATTTCACAGACCAAAGATGTCTAATGTCGCTAATATCCTTCTCTAAGGCCTTGGAGAATGAATGCAGAATAGGTGAGGAATACATGAAATTGCAGAATTGTCACATTAATTTTCGTTACAGATCATTTCAAACAATTAGTCACAATATTTTTTATTAACCCAAAACTTCCGGTTTCCAACTTCAAAACTGACGAAATTCAATTCAATCCTTGGATCCCTATTCTTCCTCCTTGGAGGTGGAAATTCCTGATTTCATTTCTTGATAATTATTCACGCTATACAAATAACCTAGTTGCCTATTTCAAGATTCTAGGTTCAGTAACTTCGGCTGTACATTGATATAAGAGCATATGTTTAAATTAAAAATACAGTAACTGAAAAAATATGCCAACTGCACTACGAGATGAATAGCTTCTAGGATCGACTCATGTTACTTATAAAGAAATTCGCAAAAGTATCACAACTGTCAGCGACTTCCGCCTGCGTTCTCGGCGAGGGCGCTTCATTGCTTACACCGAGACTTTTTCGACTAACTCAATACATATAATTATATCACGACCAAAATTGCACAAAGCCTTTGTTAATTATAGCCCAATAGCACTCTTTATATTATACAAAACAGTAACTGAAAAAATATTTTCCTGTAAATGTACCAACTTGAAATGAGTCGAAGCTACTCCATTTCCTACAATGTGAAATGTGGATAAAGTGGTAGTTTGAAATTATAAGTAGATTTTTGATTTATCAGCTCAATAGGTTTGTAAAACTAAGCTCTGTTTGGGATAATTAGTTCATGCCATTACCAAGAGAGATATAAAGGAATACGAGAATCTGAGTGAAAGCCAGAAAAATCCTGTACCACAGTACAACAAACAAACTGTGGTCAACCTCTCCGAGGTTGACGAGGTTCACGATAGTGAATACTAACAATCGAAACGTCGTGAAGTGAATCTTTTAATTTTTATTTCCAATTTTAGTGTAATTGTTCAAACTAATGAAATTCAGGTATTCGTAATTTACCTAACGACATTGCTAAGGAAATTCGCATAGAAAGGTCAAGGTTTTCAAAGCGCGTAAAACCATCTAACTCTAGTTGCATACACACCGATTTTGGACGGCCGACTTTGTACCGGTCGTCCGAATTCCAATAGTGAACCACATGTGGGAACGGGACCTTGCACACATGCCTACTGGTGATCGTCGCCGGTAAAATACCGGTGAGCAGCCGTCCACTGCCACTGTATCGCCGGCAGTACTGGGAAGTAGTGGCGTACATGACTTAATACACTCTTGCATACTCACCAGTTTTTTACCGACCATTCCAGTCTCGAATGCTCGGTGAAATTGTAGTTACTACGCATTAACTTCGTTTTGGTGGTGCGTGCTAATTACGACAACAAAGCAACTGATTGTTTGACCGATAAAAATCCGGTGAGTGTGCAAGCACCCAATAAAAATATCGGCCGATTTTATACTGGCCGTCCAAAATCGGTATGTGTGCAACTAGCGTGAGGCGCTAAACAATCTCAATACAGATAAGAATACCTTGGTAGTGCCTGCTGACAAAGGAAATACCATCGTAGTGATGAACACCAAGGATTATAATGAGAAAATTGTCGATTCACTCGATCCAGGGACATATAAAAGACTCAGTCGGCCCCCGACCTCCGGGATATATCTAACGTCTATATAGCTAACCAAAAATCCATGAAGAGAATGTGCCACTTAGACCTATCATAAATGCGATAGATTCGCCAACTTATGAGCTGGCCAAATACTTGACAATCCCACTGCAGCCATTTATAGAAAATACAGAGTCACTAATCGAAAAGAGTGGAGATATGAAGTTAGGTCTGGGAGACATACTAATGAGCTTCGACGTGGTCTCCTTATACACGATGGTTCCGATCAAGGAGACAATACGGCTAATTAGCGAAGTATTCCCAGCCGGTATACCCGCCATCTTCACACTTTGTTTATCATCAACTTATTTTCAGTGGAATAATGTTTTTCACAAATAAACGGATGGTACCGCAATGGGTAGTCCATCAAGTCCCGCAGTGGTAAACTTTTTCACGGAAAATTAACAACAGGACTTAGAGCAAGCGGCCGTAAAACCATATTGTTGGCTGCGATACGTTCGTGATATGGCAAGATGGTAAAGGGACACTAAACGAATTTCTATTATATCTGAACTCTCTCGACTTTCTCTCGTTATGCTGATGCTACGTTCGTGGTGAAGTTGAAGCAAGTTGGTGAAAAAACACTTAATACATTTCTATTATATCTAAACTCTCTCGACCTCTCCAATTTACAATGGAACGAGGAACTCAAGGAACTCTTGCTTTCTTGGATGTTCTTGTAAACAGACGTGAAGATGGTACATTGGGCCACAGAGTGTACAGGAAACCAACACAAACAGACAGGTACCTGAACAAAAACTCTATTCACCAGCCACAACAAAAGAGAGGAGTAATCAAAACGTTGGTTGAGAGAGCATGACATATCTGTGAACTTAAGAGTCTTCCTGAGAAACTCAATCAACTAAAAAATGCCGTCAACGGAAATGGGTACAGCGAAGGAGAATTCGAGCGGGCCATACGACGCAGGAGAAAGAACGCCAAAGTAATCCCAACTATGCTGGTCAAGGAAAAAGCTTTCCCTTCCTATGTTGAACATTTTATAGACCGAATTGAGAGAATCTTAGAGAAACATGACGTGAAACCAATATTTAGGCCAACAAAAACTGCTAGATAAAGTTTAAGGTCAGTTAAGGACACCAGAGAACCTCCAGCAATACACGGGATATACCGGATTCTTTGCAGCTGCGGGTCGCTTTACATTGGAACTACGAAAAGGAGTGTAGGTACCCGTCTCTTCGAACACAAGAGAAATTGTCGACTCGGACAAACCGACAAATCAGGTGTAGTCGAACATGCTCTCAACATAGAGGGCACTCACATTTTCTCATTCCAAGAGACACTAACAAGCTATTG